AACATCTTTCATTCAGAATATAAAAGGGATTTTCCAGGGCTTGGAAATATGAAAGAAGAGAGAAAATATTCACATCTGGTTTTGAATGTAAAACTTTTCAAGGCCATTTTAAGGACAGTCCTACCTAAACTTCCATAAGTATTAAGGCTAGAAATAAAATAAAAACGTTCAATCAATGGGAGATATAATATATACTTGATATCAGGAACTAAATAGTCAGCCCTTCTACTATCATATCTTAATTTTAAAAGTATACTATTTTAAAAGCCTAAATTATTGTGAATGTCACATATTTAGGATTATAGTTGTAAATACCATATTTTCCTTCATTAGAAATAATATTACTAGAGTGCCATGCCAGACAGTTGACAATAGCCAATTGTATTGCTCAATAGTCTGTGGGCATTAAATGTCTGTGACTTGTATTCAAAACAGGAAACTACAAAAAGAATGCTTTTAAAGTGTATGTTTATGTCATATTTAGCTTGACAAGAATTTGTGGAGCTAATACTCAATCCCTAGAAAGAGTTGATATTCAAAAATATTCCATTCTATGGTCTCATCCATTATATGAAACAAATGGGCAACCTGGTAAAAGTATCCTTACAACCCTATTTTTTTTATGATTGTCATTATCAATATTATTATTATTATTATTAATATTATCATTATTATTATTATTATCATCATTACTATTATTGGTTATTAATATTATTCCTGTTGTTATTGTAATCACAATCATTATTGATATCATAATGATTGTAATTTATCATCACTGTATTGATGTAGAAAAAATAAACCTGAGATGGTTGTCAAAAATAGCCTGGCCCACACAGATTTGGAATCTGAAAGCAGCTGACCCTTTAAAGGCAAAAGAGATGGTTAAGGAAGTTAACAAGCATACACCAACTGCTGATTGGAACCATACATGCACTAGACAATGATTGAAAAGTAATTCACAAATCAATTTGTATTAAGGTCGTAGAGTTCAAGTTTGCAGTACATAAATAAATTTGACTATGTATGTCGTAAAGTTTACCTGATGATATATCCTTTATTGCCCATTTTATTTTATTTTGCTCAACTTTATTGCTATTGTATTTTGTAATGCTTTTTAAAGTTTGGTTTACCTTTTAAGGGTGACTGATTACATAAATATTTTCTTGATGAAACATGCCTTTGTTAAAGAAGATGAAATGGCATAGAACATCATAATATTAGATACATACTCACATTTACTCCCGTACTCACACATACACCATACTTGCACCACAACATATCACATATGTCATACCAAGTCACACAATGCAAATAATGATACACAACATTGTGGCACACTATAACCACGTCCACCTGCCCCCACTTATTTTGTTTGAAGAATTGTACAGAAGTAGACATAAGTATTTAAATATTCAGAGGTTATTTAAATTATTTTCTCTACAAAATATCTGAGCCATTGAATATATGATTTGCAAAGAACATTTACTGACACTATAAGTTGGATCAAAGTAGCAAATGTTTTACTTCATATTAAAAAACATGTGAGAAAGCAATGATTATTTTTTTTTTAAATCTAAAATCAGTGTTTGTAAATGTATTGCTAGTTGATATGTTGCATTAATTTTGTGTTGTATTTAATAAGAATGTACTTCTGGATTGTGTTTTTCAAAATTCTGCTTGTGATTATCTACCTAAATTTTGGTAGGGATTTTAAGATTGATGATGTTTTCAGTAAATTATTATTTTTTTTTAATGTTCCAAGTTATTCATATTTTTTCAGCATAATTTTCAGAGCTTGATTTTATTGAAGTGCTGGTTATGCCTAAAAAAGAAAGCTTGAGAAATATTTGTAATCTAGATTGGTTGCAGAGATTGTCATAAAAAAATATGTTTATATACTATAGTTACAGCCAATAAACATTACTTTTGACACAAGTCCTTCAATCAAATGAGCTTCAGTTGTATATTGTGACAATTTGTGTACAATTGAGAGCAAGAGTAAATTTTAAAGGGTTCACTCATCTTAGACATGTTTGAATTGGAAGATCAGACTGATATTTTTACCAGTATATTTAGGTTTACAGGGTACTCAAATATGTGGTGTACAGGTGTTCTGAATTTGGATGATTTAAATGAAATTAGAGTATACTATAATATTTTGACATTAAAAAACTGTACTATATATATTTTTTGTAGTGATAATAGAGTATTTTCCACAAATTGTGATAGTTTTGCTTATTACAAGGTGCTATATCACTTAATCATACTAGTATTTGATAAATGTAAATTACACGCTCAGAGAATTTTTTTTCTAGTTGACTAACACATATATTTTTATGGTCAACTATGTAATGTTGTAGTTGCCAGCGGTATTATGGAATTCACTTAGGATTGTACCATAAGGAATAAAAACTAATTCGCAATCCATGTTTTAGGTTTTATTTTTCATGGTGAATTATCTATCCATTGAAAATTTTCTGCTGCGTCAAAATTCATATTCATTAGT